GAACAGAACACAAAGAGTAACAGTCAACCATATAAAATTGAGTCCAAGCGCAGTTAAAAGCTCTGTACCTCAGGGTACAGTCCTTGCACCACTACTTTCTTATTCTCATATCAGATATAGACAAAAATACAAGTCACAGCTTCGTGTCGTCCTTTGCAGATGATACAAAATTCAACATGAAAATTACCTCTGTCGAAGACAATGAAAAACTACAAGCAGATATAAATAAGGTTTATGACTGGGCAATATAAAATAACATGATGTTTAACAGTGATAAATTCCAGGTACTCAGGTACGGTAAAAATGAGGACCTTAAACATAATACAGGGTACAAAACACAATCAAATGTGCCCATAGTAGGAAAACGGCATGTAAAGGATTTGGGAATAGTGATGTCTGACGACCTAACGTTTAGGGAGCATAACCAAGCAAATATTGCGTCAGCCAGAAAAATGATCGGATTGATTACGAAAATTTTCAAATCCAGGGATCCCATCACAATGGTTGTACTCTTCAAGTCACTTGTGTTGTCCAGTCTCGAGTACTGCTCAGTACTCACTTTCCCCTTCAGAGCAGGAGAGATTGCTGAAATACAGGGAATATAGAGAACATATACGGTATCCATAGACGCGATAAAGCACCTAAATTATTGAGATCGTCTCAAAGCTCTCCAAATGTACTCAATAGAAAGGAGAAGAGAGAGATACCAAATAATATACACATGGAAAATACTGGAGGGCCAGGTCCCAAATCTACACGGTAAAATATCAACGAACTGGAGTGAACGATATGGAAGAAAATGCAGAATAGAACCAGTGAAGAGCAGAGGTGCCATAGGCACAATCAGAGAACACTGTATGAACATCAGTGGTCCGCGGTTGTATTACCAAGCAAACCACGATAGTTTTCTTAAAGGAGTGCCGGACCAACCGGGCTGTGGTGGGTATGTGGGCCTGCGGGCCGCTCCAAGCAACAGCCTGGTGGACCAAACTCTCACAAGTCAAGCCTGGCCTCGGGCCGGGCTTGGGGAATAGAATAACTCCCCAGAACCCCAATCAAGCAGGTATACATGCTTTTGAAGCTGTGATGGTGGCCGCTTCCACAACTTACCTAGAATTAAGTGTTGGATCATTCGTTACTTCATGATTCTATCGTTTCTAATTGTCTCTGGCTCGTCTCTGTCTCCATCTTCCACCTGCTCCGCTCTATGATGATCTCTTTTGTCTCTTCCTCAGTATCTTTGATATTGTGATCATATTACCTCTGGTTCGTTTCATCTAATGTTGTCTACTATTACAGTTTTCTCGTGAGACATCTTGGAACCCTCAGTATTCCTCAGGTGCTTCACCAGGTGTTTACCAGGTGTTGGCTTGGAACTGAAGGTGCATATTAAGGCTCAGTGTTCCATGTGTGTATGTGTAGAGTTTTGAAGGGTTCCCTATTCAGGTTTGTGAAGCCTGCCTTATGGCTTTCATAAGGCTCTGGTTTCTTCCTGGGGAGTAGTGTCAAAGGTTTCTAGGCAGACAAGGAAGGTGCAGTTCACCTGGTGCCCGGTGTGGAACTCTACAAGGTTTACCTGCCATGTTGTCTCCCTAGTAAACAATACCTTACAAAATGAATGCTCTTTGGCTGTCTTAGTGACTAGAGTTTGTTTCATATATTAAATGTTTGTAATATTTGCTTAGTTCCCACTCTTTCGCGCCCTCCCCCTGTCTCCCTCTCGCTAGTCCCCCCTTATCTCGCGCCCCCCCCCTCGCTCGCGCCCCCCCCCCCTCGCTCGCGCCCCCCCCCCCTCGCTCGCGCCCCCCCTTCGCTCGCGCCCCCCCCTCGCTCGCGCCCCCCCCCTTCGCTCGCGCCCCCCCCTCGCTCGCGCCCCCCCTTCGCTCGCGCCCCCCCCCCTCGCTCGCGCCCCCCCTTCGCTCGCGCCCCCCCCCCTCGCTCGCGCCCCCCCCCTCGCTCGCGCCCCCCCCCTCGCTCGCGCCCCCCCCCCCTCGCTCGCGCCGCCCCCCCCTCGCTCGCCCCCCCCCCCCTCGCTCGCGCCCCCCCCTCGCTCGCGCCCCCCCCCCTCGCTCGCGCCCCCCCCCCTCGCTCGCGCCCCCCCCCTCGCTCGCGCCCCCCCCTCGCTCGCGCCCCCCCCCTCGCTCGCGCCCCCCCCTCGCTCGCGCCCCCCCCCTCGCTCGCGCCCCCCCCCTCGCTCGCGCCCCCCCCCTCGCTCGCGCCCCCCCCCTCGCTCGCGCCCCCCCCTCGCTCGCGCCCCCCCCCTCGCTCGCGCCCCCCCCCTCGCTCGCGCCCCCTCCCCCCCCCGCTCGCGCGCCCCCCCCTCGCTCGCGCCCCCCCCCCCTCGCGCTCGCGCCCCCCCCCTCGCTCGCGCCCCCCCCCTCGCTCGCGCGCCCCCCCCCTCGCTCGCGCCCCCCCCCCCTCCTCGCTCGCGCCCCCCCCTCGCTCGCGCCCCCCCCCCCTCGCTCGCGCGCCCCCCCCCCCTCGCCCCCCCCCCCCCCCCTCGCGCGCCCCCCCCCCCTCGCGCCCCCCCCCCTCGCTCGCGCCCCCCCCCCCCTCGCTCGCGCCCCCCCCCCTCGCTCGCGCCCCCCCCCCGCCGCGCCCCCCCTCTCGCGCCCCCCCCCCTCGCGCCCCCCCCCCCCTCGCGCGCCCCCCCCCCCCTCCCCCCCCCTCGCTCGCGCCCCCCCCCCCTCGCTCGCGCCCCCCCCCCCTCGCTCGCGCCCCCCCCCCTCGCTCGCGCGCCCCCCCCCTCGCTCGCGCCCCCCCCCCTCGCTCGCGCCCCCCCCCCCCTCGCTCGCGCCCCCCCCCCTCGCTCGCGCCCCCCCCCTCGCTCGCGCCCCCCCCCCTCGCTCGCGCCCCCCCCCCCTCGCTCGCGCCCCCCCCCCCCGCGCTCGCGCCCCCCCCTCGCTCGCCCCCCCCCCCTCGCGCGCGCCCCCCCCCTCGCTCGCGCCCCCCCCTCGCTCGCGCGCCCCCCCCCTCGCTCGCGCCCCCCCCCTCGCTCGCGCCCCCCCCCTCGCTCGCGCCCCCCCCCCCTCGCTCGCGCGCCCCCCCCCCCTCGCGCTCGCGCCCCCCCCCTCGCTCGCGCCCCCCCCTCGCTCGCGCCCCCCCTCGCTCGCGCCCCCCCTCGCTCGCGCCCCCCCTCGCTCGCGCCCCCCCCCCTCGCTCGCGCCCCCCCCCTCGCTCGCGCCCCCCCCCTCGCTCGCGCCCCCCCCCTCGCTCGCGCCCCCCCCCTCGCTCGCGCCCCCCCCTCGCTCGCGCCCCCCCCCCTCGCTCGCGCCCCCCCCCTCGCTCGCGCCCCCCCCCCTCGCTCGCGCCCCCCCCCCTCGCTCGCGCCCCCCCCCTCGCTCGCGCCCCCCCCCCCTCGCTCGCGCGCCCCCCCCCCTCGCTCGCGCCCCCCCCTCGCTCGCGCCCCCCCCCCCTCGCTCGCGCCCCGCCCTCGCTCGCGGCCCCCCCCCTCGCTCGCGCCCCCCCCCTCGCTCGCGGCCCCCCCCTCGCTCGCGGCCCCCCCCCTCGCTCGCGCCCCCCCCTCGCTCGCGGCCCCCCCTCGCTCGCGGCCCCCCCCTCGCTCGCGGCCCCCCCTCGCTCGCGCCCCCCCCTCGCTCGCGCCCCCCCCTCGCTCGCGCCCCCCCCCCCTCGCTCGCGCCCCCCCCCCTCGCTCGCGCGCCCCCCCCCTCGCTCGCGCCCCCCCCTCGCTCGCGCGCCCCCCCCCTCGCTCGCGCGCCCCCCCCCCCCTCGCTCGCGCCCCCCCCCCCTCGCTCGCGCCCTCCCCCCCTCGCTCGCGCCCTCCCCCCCTCGCTCGCGCCCTCCCCCCCTCGCTCGCGCCCTCCCCCCCTCGCTCGCGCCCTCCCCCCCTCGCTCGCGCCCCTCCCCCCCTCGCTCGCGCCCTCCCCCCCTCGCTCGCGCCCTCCCCCCCCTCGCTCGCGCCCTCCCCCCCTCGCTCGCGCCCTCCCCCCCTCGCTCGCGCCCTCCCCCCCTCGCTCGCGCCCCCCCCCCTCGCTCGCGCCCCCCCCCTCGCTCGCCCCCCCCCCCTCGCTCGCGCGCCCCCCCCCCCCTCGCTCGCGCGCGCCCCCCCCCCCCCCTCGCTCGCGCGCCCCCCCCCCCCTCGCTCGCGCGCCCCCCCCCCTCGCTCGCGCGCCCCCCCCCCTCGCTCGCGCGCCCCCCCCCCTCGCTCGCGCGCCCCCCCCCCCTCGCTCGCGCGCCCCCCCCCTCGCTCGCGCGCCCCCCCCCCTCGCTCGCGCCCCCCCCCCCCCTCGCTCGCCCCCCCCCCCCCTCGCTCGCGCCCCCCCTCCTCGCTCGCCCCCCCCCCCCCCTCGCTCGCGCCCCCCCCCCCCCCTCGCTCGCGCCCCCCCCCCTCGCTCGCGCCCCCCCCTCGCTCGCGCCCCCCCCCCCTCGCTCGCGCCCCCCCCCTCGCTCGCGCCCCCCCCCCTCGCTCGCGCCCCCCCCTCGCTCGCGCCCCCCCTCGCTCGCGACCCCCCCCCCTATCTCCCCCTCGCGCTAGTTATAGAACGAAGGGGAGATAAATGGATATATTAAATAGACATTCAATGGCTATACTTCTATTTATACCCATTTAATCCCATTCATATGTCACTGTACCCCACGTCACCTCTCACCTGCCTATATATCCAATCTACTGACTTGTAAATCCATTCATCCTTCTGAAGATGTATAGTTCAATACCAAAGTACATAAGAAATTGGCAGTTTGGTTAAAAACTGCAAAATACACATTGGTAATATTTTGCATGTTTAAATTGTTAACTAAATTTAGTCCTACAATTGTCATGCTAACATTGACTTTTTAAGAGCTGAACTTTAATCCAAGTATGTAGCGCTTTGCACTGTGAAGTCAGAGCATGAAGAGTAATGCTGTTGGACACAGCAACTAGCACAGGCTAGATTTAAATGTCTGGTAGAAAGCTAAAGTTACAACTGGTAGTTGTATGGGTATTGGAGTGAGGGTGTAGTGTATTGGGAAGGGTGTTATCGGGTAGACCCAAATACTTCTTGGCGATGCTTGCGGGGTGAGCTGCCAGGTGTACGATGCTGACATTGCTGTGATGTCGCGCCGGCCTGCCAGACGCGGTGCTGCCGGCCTGCCAGAGGCGACCACGCCACCATCGGGGCAGCATCTCCACGCGTCCCTCCGCACCAGCGGCATGCTCTCCTTTACCCTGCCATTCGCCGGGTATCATCCATACCCCTCCCATTACCTCGCCTGAGAATATGTACCATAAACTGCCCATCACCCTCCTCCTGGCATGGCGGCGGCGGGGTAGCCCCGTCATGCCGCCATGGAGGGACGGGTAGCCCCGTCATGCCGCCATGGAGGGACGGGTAGCCCCGTCATGCCGCCATGGAGGGACGGGTAGCCCCGTCATGCCGCCATGGAGGGACGGGTAGCCCCGTCATGCCGCCATGGAGGGACGGGTAGCCCGTCATGCCGCCATGGAGGGACGGGTAGCCCCGTCATGCCGCCATGGAGGGACGGGTAGCCCCGTCATGCCGCCATGGAGGGACGGGTAGCCCCGTCATGCCGCCATGGAGGGACGGGTAGCCCCGTCATGCCGCCATGGAGGGACGGGTAGCCCCGTCATGCCGCCATGGAGGGACGGGTAGCCCCGTCATGCCGCCATGGAGGGACGGGTAGCCCCGTCATGCCGCCATGGAGGGACGGGTAGCCCCGTCATGCCGCCATGGAGGGACGGGTAGCCCCGTCATGCCGCCATGGAGGGACGGGTAGCCCCGTCATGCCGCCATGGAGGGACGGGTAGCCCCGTCATGCCGCCATGGAGGGACGGGTAGCCCCGTCATGCCGCCATGGAGGGACGGGTAGCCCCGTCATGCCGCCATGGAGGGACGGGTAGCCCCGTCATGCCGCCATGGAGGGACGGGTAGCCCCGTCATGCTGCCATGGAGGGACGGGTAGCCCCGTCATGCTGCCATGGAGGGACGGGTAGCCCCGTCATGCTGCCATGGAGGGACGGGTAGCCCCGTCATGCTGCCATGGAGGGACGGGTAGCCCCGTCATGCTGCCATGGAGGGACGGGTAGCCCCACACTGAAGGCCTACACTCACCATTACAGGACTCTACCACCTTGCCATATACCCAATTACTGCTCGTCCCTCACCCTCATGCTCAACTTGGAGCATAATCTTGGTAGCATTTTCCTCATAATTCACCATTTTAGCCAGTATTGCCAACGGTGTTGGAGGACAAAGCTTCCACTTCGCAACAGGGAGTGACTGACTGGAGGCAATGAACACAATACTGAGATAACGACGCTGGTTGCAATATCCTCCTGGAGGAGGGTGTAGGGGGCGTCCACCCTCGGCAATAAAGAAAAAGGAAAATATTGTGAGAGAGGTGGTGTGGGTGGCGACGGCCGCCAGGGCGCCGCTGGCATCACCCTAGCGGCTGTAAGCGAGCCATGGAGACACCCTACCTATGTACAATAATTTTCCTTATTAAGCCTACTCAATAGCTGGGTCGATAGAGCTTGGGGTCTACGGTTCGAGTCACCTAGAGCCCTGGGGAATAGTAGCTACGCGATTTTTAACTTAATTTTTGTCTTGTGCAAAGTAAGCGGGTTTAATGTGCTCAAAATACACTGCTGGTACACTGGCAAGCTTCAGAAGTACTCACTCCACACTTGCGCTAGTATTCGCTTAGTGGGTTTGTTGTCAGTGTGGCAGTGTTAATACGTGTGTGTTTAACGTAGATTTTTATATACATTTTTTGGTAGAACGGTCCATGTATGTGTACGTAATATGAGTGTTGTGTTTCACTACCCATCTGTGAATGTAAGGGTTGAAAGTGTACCTTTACATGCGATAATTGCGTGAAAATTACACAAAATATATATATAGTATGTCCTTTCATCATTTATATATTATATGAGTTATGTATAACATTTATGTCACCATTTATATATATAGGTAGGAGTTCCTTACTGGTGATGTAAAGTGAGGCTTCAGAAGCGTGTACCATAATTATATTTTTTGTTGTACTAAAATTATATTTGATTTGAAAGTTTTAAAAAATTTTATATATTTTTTCAAATTGGTTAATTTTGTTAATTACAAATTTTAATGTGAGGTAAATAAAATATTATTTGTGAAAGGAAATATGGTTCGGTAGTTATAATTTACCTGAGTTTAAGCAAACAAAATTTAGAGATAAAAATATCAAATTCTAAAACTTATTAATATAGTTCTAATGATTATTTCAGATTACCAGATTTACCTGATTGAGTTGGATTTATATATATAATCTCTTTGAAGCTTATTTTGTCTAATTATACAAATTTGAAAATATACATAATTGTTTATATTTGAGTGAATTGAGTGAGCATGTAAGAGAAGGTGTAACTAGTGAAGCAGCACAGTTAGCCTACATGGGAGAGAGAATCAGCTCATTGGGGAAAGGTGGTGGCTCTTAACAACTTTAATTGTAAAGCTGTACAAAAAGGTCTTGAGTTACCTTATTAATTAAAATGATTAGAGATTGACAGATGGTTCAAACTTGCACTGTTTGTTTTTGACTGCAGGTTTGAATTTAATAATAATTTATAGGGAGTTATGGGGCACTTTAACCCAGAAAAGGTGATTGTGGTCATGAACAAATCCACAAGGGCCGTGACGAGGATTCGAACCTGCGTCCGAGAGCATCCCAGACGCTGCCTTAATCGACTGAGCCACGACATGATCAAATTTGTGGATTTGTTCATTTGCTGCTTCACGCAATTGTGATTTGTAAGTGTGATTGAGGTTATCTTATAAAAGGTGCGGGAGCCCGGGGTCTGGGGGAGTCTTCCCCTCACAAACCTGTGTTAAATTTGATGTTAAATTGTAAGGAAAGATGTTTGCCTCCACATTAGTTTCGTTCCTTGATTTCTGTTTCAATAAATAGTTCTTGGACATGCAGAGAGTTCTCTCTCTATCCCAGCCAATCATCAGCGGTGATGAATTACTGCAAGTTATCGTCCCTCCACCAGTGCTCACACTAGGCTGGCCAACTCATCTTCCTGTTTTGACTATGTAACTATGTTTTTCTAACTATGTTGTCGATCATAACAATAGGTAGTAATAGAGCTCATTTTTAGCGATATTTAACTATTTAACGAACTAAAAAATGTTAATCGCCTAATTGTGCTTGCGGGGGTTGAGCTGCGGCTATTTGGTCCTGCCTCTCAACCGTCACTCGACTGATGTACAGACTCATCATATATACATTTGAAACTGTGTATGGAGTCAGCCTCCACCACATCACTGCCTAATGCATTCCATCTGTTAACTACTTTGACACTAAAAAAAGTTCTTTCTAATGTCCCTGTGGCTTATTTGGGTACTCGGTTCCCACCTGTGTCCCCAAGTCAATGTACCACCTGTTAAATAATATATTTATCTACATTATCAATTCCCCTGAAAATCTTGTATGTGGTGATCATGTCTACCCTAACTCTTGTCTTGTATTGACGTGAGGTTTAGTTTAGTTGAATCATTCCTTCAGTTTGTCCAGGTCATCGTGAAGGCTCGTGCTGTCCTCCTGTCTTGCCCCGCCTCATAATGTTAGCATCATCAGCAAACATTGAGAGGAGCGAGACTATTCATTCCTGAGGCCAGGAATGAGATTATGGTCTCACCCCCTCACCGTGACTCTCTGGTTCTTATTTCTTAGGTACCTCCTACCTATTTCTTAGGTACTTCCTACCTATTTCTTAGGTACTTCCCCGACCGTCCAAGTGGTTGGGCACCATTCGTTTCCCCCGTCCCATCCCAAATCCTTATCTTGACCCCTTCCAAGTGCTATATAGTCGTAATGGCTTGGCTCTTTCCCCTGAAAATTCCCTCCCCTCCTATTTACCTCTCCTCTTAGGTATTTCTTTATCCATTGGAGTTACTCCTGCCAGTTTCTATAACTTATGCACCAGCCTCTTATGGGCTGCTGTCATAGGCTTTCTGACAGTCAAAGAAAATGCAGTCTGCCCACTCTTCTCTTTCTTGTTTGTATGTGTAATTACCTAAGTGTAGATACAGGCTGAGACCTACACTTGTGGTATCCCGTCTTCCCAGTACTCTGTCATATAACGCTTTGATACTGCCGACGGTTTTGGCCACCACCATATATAAATAAATAAATAATAAATGTTTATTTAGGTAAGGTACATACATACAAGAGATTTTACAAAGTTTGTTGGATTAATAGATAGAGCTAGTACATACAATGCCTAAAGCCACCATTACGCAAAGCGTTTCGGGCAGCAGGATCGAACCCACCTTCTCACTGAACTTGTTCCAACCGTCTACCACTCTCTTGCCAAAAGAAAACTTTCTAATAAATTTTTTTCGGCACCTTTATTTCCTTAGCTAGAGTCTGTGTCCTCGTGTTCTTGAAGTTCTGTGTTTCAAGAATTCTTCGTCAATTTTGTCGGTAACTGTTTGTTATTTATTTATACAGGAGTTCTTATATTCCTGTACAGCCACTAACACGCGTAGCGTCTCAGGTCCTTAATCCTAATATTCCCCGGAATACGACCCGCCAAATCGTTTAACAACCAGGTACGCATTTTACTGCTGGGTGAGCAGAGGTTACACTTAAGGATTGGCGCCCAGTCAATCCTCCCCGGCCAGGATCCGAACCCAGGCCAAACCGCTCGCGAAGCGCCGGGCGAGTGTTTTACCACTGCGCCACGAGGACTGCTGCTATTTTATATGTTGTGATCACGTCCGCTGCTTCTATCGTCTTTGGGATATTTAACACCTCTAGGTTATCTTGAGATGATTTCGGGGCTTAGCGTCCCAGCGGCCCGGTCCTCGACCAGGCCTCCACCCTCAGGAAGCGGCCTGTAGCAGCTGTCTAACTCCCAGGTACCTATTTACTGCTAGGTAACAGGGGCATCAGGGTGAAAGAAACATTTTGCCCATTTGTCTCCGCTTCCACCGGGGTTCGAACCCGGAACCTCAGGACTACGAATCCGAAGCGCTGTCCACCCAGCTGTCAGGCGCACCTTAGGAGTTACCCTCTCCTCATAACTCTCCCTTTCAGTTCCGGAAGCCATTTTGTAGCATGCCATTGCACCTTTTCCAATTTATTGATGCTTTGCTTGAGATTTGGGCACTATACAACTGCTGCATATTCCAGTTTTGGTCTCACAAAGG